GGTGTATTTAAAGAACTGCTGGATAGCTCCATGACTGTGGAACCTAAGGTTGGGTATTTAAAGAACTGCTGGATAGCTCCATGCTTTTAGACTGTGGAACCTAAGGTTGTGGGTTCAATTCCCTACTGTGTCTCCTTGACAGAGGGTGGGGTTGATAATCCATAGGGAACCTTCCGGCTCCTCAATTGTAAGATGATGATGATCATCATCATCAAATGGCCATTTCATTCAGGTGGGGTTGATAATCCATAGGGAACCTTCTGGCTCCTCAATTGTAAGACGATCATCATCATCATTAAATGGCCATTTCATTCGAAATTTGCTTGGACTTTTACATGCAGTTTGTTTCTGTATTTGCTTGTGTACTGAATTAAATCATACAACATTTGTGTATCTAAATGTTGTTCTAGCTGAGAAATAGTTGGATTTCCTCTTTTCTCACCTCAAGGCATCTTGAGAATTCAGCGTCAGCTGCAAGGCATCTGGTTGACCAAATCTGGCAGGTGGGGTGTTGCAATTATACACAATTCTTCTGAAGCTTCCCTCAGATGAAATAATTCTACCACCAGCCACAGGTTCTCTGAACCAAAATGTGTCATTCAGAATAGTGGCACGAGAGACTCAGATTACTTTACCTTACATCATAAGAAGTTTTAATTTTGGTCCTTGGTGGTGACTTGACGTCTGTTGAAAACCATGTTGACCCCCTGGGACTTTGGCATGGAGAACTATTAAATATTATCTTTTAAAAACTGGTTTGGGCTTTTTTAATTCCATGTATATCGTTCCAATTTTTATGGTCCCCGTTCTTGAAAGAGGAAGGTGGAATATTAAATACTTTTTGGTGAATTACATATACCGAGGGCAACTTCAGTTTTTCAAGGACTATTATTGTTTGGTCATCAAAATGGCACTATTGACATGTAGGAGGCTTAGAGGAACCTACGTTTTGCTGAAGTAAGCTGCCCAAAAACCATTTAGGAAAGTAAAGTACAGAGATCCCTTGATGAAATACTGAAAAGAGGACTGAACATGCCTAGTGGTCATGAAATGCTAACTGTTGGGAAAGAAGAACGCAATATCTAGTGTGAACAAGGGATGGAGTAGAGTATAATAAAAAAAAATTGCATGGCTGACCAGTAAAAATCCTGAATGCGACTATAAAACTCTGCAATAATGGTGTTGAAGGCTCTACTCATTCTTGCTAGATAAAATCTTTTTGTTTGTTTGTTTTTTCAGGATAACAGATATCTTGGTTTTTTTCCTCGCAGCACTCTGACACCATTAAAAATCGCATGGCGGGGAGAAGGGAGGCATGCAGTTTTTCCTAGCAGAAATCTTCCCTTTTTTCATTAGGGAGCTGATAAATGGCACAGGAAAATTTCCAGGGGGGAGGGAAGGTGGCAACTCAAATAGATGAACAGTGGGGGAAAGATGACTTGCTTTCTTTTCCAAATTTTCAGGGCCCAATTCTGGATGAATTGGGAAGGAGAATGTTCTAACCCACGTCCGGTATGAAGAGTACAGAAGCAAAGAGCATCTTACACCACCATTTTTGCCCACACTGGTGGCAAGAAAGCCGGAGAGATTCATGCAGGATTGGCTAAACCCATATTGCTAGGGCAGAGTCCAAAACCAGCCAAAATACAAATTGTCTGAATGTTTGTGAAATCCATTTAGCTGAACTTGAGGCACTGTTTTTTGATGGTGATTGTGGGAAATCCAGGGTGTTTTATTTTTCTGCAACAAGCAAGCCAAACAAACACATTTTTCTGCATGTGAGACAAGAGTGACAGACTTCACCGATTCCATTATTTATATATTTTAATTTTTAATTAAAAAATTAAAGTTATCTCGATACATCTCTTTGCAGCCTTTGGGCGAAAATTCACCGCTTAACAACACTATAGGAAACATGATGCTTATCAAAATGTTGGCACACAGGACTGGAAAATAAAGGTAATTCTTCTCCTGCAAAAAATTGTCTTCTTAATTCTCCTGTTTGCTTCTCCCATTTCCTAAAGTTGTTGTTGTGTGTTCCCTACGGTGAAGTACCCTAAACAACAGGAGTAAGGGATCTAAAGCAGAAGAGTTCTCAAAACACCTGAGGTTGCACAGACTTGTATCATGTACTTCCCTTAATTCATCCAGATTTAACTAAGTGCCTGAACTATGTCTGTTCACACCCTATCTTCTGAACCCTGATCAAAATTCAGTAGAGGAAATTGCTGTGATGCTGTGTTGTGTCTTTAAAAATGAGCTACTCTAGGTGACTAGGGACGTGGTGGCGCTGTGGGCTAAACCACAGAAGCCTGTGCTGCAGGGTCAGAAGACCAAGCAGTCGTAAGATCGAATCCACATGACGGAGTGAGCTCCCGTCACTTGTCCCAGCTCCTGCCAACCTAGCGGTTCGAAAGCATGCAAATGCAAGTAGATAAATAGGGACCACCTCGGTGGGAAGGTAACAGCGTTCTGTGTCTAAGTCGCACTGGCCATGTGACCACGGAAGATTGTCTTTGGACAAACGCTGGCTCTATGGCTTGGAAATGGGGATGAGCACCACCCCCTAGAGTCGAACACGACTGGACAAAAAATGTCAAGGGGAACCTTTACCTTTACTCTAGATGACTAGAACCTTCCAGAAAGGGTTTCTAGGGCCACCAAGGATGGCTTACTACCTTGTGTTTAAATATTAGCACTAATTAGTTTAAACATTATTGTGCAACTTAAGCATGTTAGAGAGTAAATCCTACTGAAGTTAATAGGATTTCATTCTGGGTAAACACGCTTAGGCGTTCATGTTTAGTTGGCTGATTCATTGAGTGAATTAATTTATTTGAAGCTTTGTGATAGAGTGGAGGCTATTGGTTTTTTTCACTACTATATTCTGGGGCATATCTAGACTCACTATGCTTAAGCCACTGTTGCAAATTCTGATAAAAAGTGACCTTTTTGGCTAATGTATGGACCAGAATTTAGCTATCATCCACCAGTTTTTCCACCCTCTGAATGTTCCAATGACATTCCGGCCTTAGAAAAAGGAACTGAGATCTGCTTTACAATTAATATTTTGGGGGAAGCACGCAGAATTGTACCAACTGAGCATGAAACAAATTTTCCACAAAAATCTCAAACACATCTCTAAATGCAAATGCTCATGCAGATTTTGTTAACTTCAAAAATGGGAGGAAACAGACTTATGGCAAAACATATGAGAAAGTGGCATGGCCAGAAATCAGAACTTGGAAACATTACTTTTATACACGATCTCTCCCACAGTTCCTCAGTTCCAATCTTAGAATTGTAGTTCAAAAAGTATTACTAAATTCTTCAAGAACTCAAACAGTTTCCTCATCCTTAACATAGAGCAGGCCTGAGTTGAAAATATAACATGTGAACCAGCCTTTAGTCATGACATAATTTAACCCAAATATTCCATTTTCAGGGAGGTATACCAATCATTGGGCCCCCATACTTGCTCTTCCCTTTGCTGCTGTTAACTTACTAGTAGGACATGGAAGAGCAGAGGATCAAAGACTAGATTTAATGAAGATTTTGGGTATCCTTTCCTCAATTCAAGCAAAACAGAGTACTGTGGCACCTTAAGACCACTGAGCTTTATTTGGTATAAGCTTTGGTGGACTCCAGCTCCCTTCTTCGGATGCAATTTCCTTTATGAATTGCTGTCCCAAATCTTGCTGTCAGAGCTTCTCGTCCACACAGGCACTTGGACACCCCCATCAGTATAAGAACTTCTTGTATTTTTTTTTCTCTCTAGACAAAAAAGCCGGCATCTCAATTATTGTAGGTTCCAGTTTTGGAGACTTCGTGGGCAAAACTACTTCAGGGCTCCCCACATCCACCTCTTTCTTGAGGTTCTCACTGCTGCCCATTGGCTAGCTTTCCCCCTCTGACCCCAGTCCAGAACACCACCAATGGAGAAGGCAAGACTACTGGAGGAGGATGCTCCATCTCCTCACCTTTGTCACTGCCTGTGTGGTCAACAAGGGCAGGAGAATATGCAACAAGAGTGAGGAGGAAGAGCAAGATCCACTGTGGTTCACCATGACCTCCCCCAGCAGATGTCAGAGTTGTCAACCTCAAGCTACACACATTCTCAAGCTACATATGTTCTACAGGGTCAAGAACTGCAGCCATTCTCCTAGTAACTAAAGCCAACCCTATCTCCTCGCCCCTCCAACCCTGTCCAGTGCAGCTTCTTTTGCATCTCCACCACTAACCAAGTCAACACATTCAAGTGCCGTGACACCACAAGCATCCTTCTTGCTACTCTTCTCTCTTTGAGACATGGTGAGTGGAAGAGAGCCCCTTGGGAAAGTCATCTTCTTGCCATCACTGAATGCCTCAACTCTAAAAGCAACTCTCCATCTATCAAGCAAGTCTGAAATTTGTTCAATACATTTTTCTTCCTTTTCCCCCAAAGACAGTTCCAGGTGTTGTCATGGCAGAACAGCAATTTCCCACAACCTGAACATTCCATTAAAAAGACTTCTTTTGAGTCGTACCAATTTAGGACTGGTTAGAGAAGGATGTTATGATGGGGAGGGTGACCTCCCACCCCCACCCCCATCACCATTCCTCCCTGGCACTGCTGCTCTGAACTTATCCAGAGCTTTGAATAATCATAGCAATAATCGTGGCAGTCTTTCCAGCATGGAGCCATCACTACAAAGCTTTTTTTTTCCCATAGTACCATGGAAAGATAAGCTCTTCACACAGCTCCAGAGTCTCAGGTTTCTAAGCATGCAGTGTCATGGGGAAGACAGCTCCATCCTTGGGATAATTGGGTGGGAAGTATACACACAACCTTGGAAAGGAAGAAAAAGTTTACTTTGTGTCCTTGTTCACGCCAGGCCCTTTTGCCTCATAGTGATTCACCCCACCGGTTGAATTCTTAAGGCACAAAGTGTGGGTGAATCCAGTTTATACATTAAACTTGTGGAGGGACACATCTGTATTTTTTTCCTCTCTCTCTCATTCTAACTTGATGGTTTCTCCTCCTGGGCAGTTTCTACTTTGGGTTCAGAAGGTTCCTGTGTTTCTGAGGAAGCATCTGATTGTTCCGTGTTTATCTGGTTCTGCTCTTCCTCCGACACCAGTTTCTGAGCTTGGCTGTTCATCTTTTCCTCCGCTTCAATCTCTTCTGAAGTTGGAATGGAGTTTTTCTTGGGACGACCTTTGGGCTTCGTAGGAGCTTCCTGCCCACCTTTCAAGACCTAGAGCAAAAAGCACATGGAGAATTTATCATGGTATGGAAATTCCATTGTACTTAGCTGCCTTGGGTCCCTTCAAGGAAAATGCAGAGTAAACATATTTTAAATAAATAAATAAATATATAAATACTTATCATAATCATTATTCTTATTTCTTAGCATTGCTTGGGGGAGGACCAAAGGGTCAAGACTAAAAATTAGGAGTCAAGGCTTAAAATTTTGCAGGAGATATGAGATGTTTGTGAAATCCTTGATATTTGAATTACAAGAAGCAAATTGGCAGGTTTTGGTGATCATTTTAAATTAGTAACCAAAGATCATTTTAAATTAGTAACCATTTGAAACAGCTCCAGTTACTAAAATTACTGTGGGAAGGAGGATAGCTTGATCTAGTGTCCATATTCTTTTAATTTCTTGCTGTAATGTGGTTGCTGTTGTACATGCGAGTATTCCAACTGGATCCTGGCCACTGTATATTATGAGTTGGATCTAGATTTAATCCTTAGATCTATGTGAGACTTAGTCATCGATAAGTCCAACAATTCTGAGATTTACCATTTTTTTCCATTTCATCCTGCGATTCTGGTACCAAGTCTTCACTTGGAGCTGAGTGAGGCCCAGGGACTGCGCAAGATCCAGCCTAGAAATGAAGAGATCCCAATTAATGATATGAAGGATGGTAACAAGATGAACAGACCATTGGAAATGGTAACCTTGTTAATGTATTGTTCACATAAAGAAATAAAGAGCTAGCGTTTTACTGGTGTTCAAATAAGGTTTGTATAACTTGTATCGGCTAATTGTAGCTAAATGACACGGTGCCAAACCAAATTTCAGATGAGTTACATGACCATGCATTAGTTAGCTACAATCAGCTACACAAACCTTATGAGACCACCAACAGGATTCTAGTCAAAAAACCCAAATCCTAGATGTTTTTCAGTTCCAGTAGGAGAAAAAATAAAAACAGATGACCAGTGACGGCAGATAATGTATCAAGAAAATTAGAACATAAAGTCTACTTTCTCTCTAATGTTGAATAGCTGGATATGAATAATTACATGATCATAGGAATGTTTTATTGTGCATACACAGATTTAGAGTTTCTTTTGGACCTGTGAAGGTGACAGTTGGAAACCCATGATGTAGTGCAGCAAATCACCAAAGATTTATCAGAAGATTCCAGATTACATTCTCCCTCTTGTCTTTTGGGAATTCTTTTAACACAATGGTTGAAATCCGGCAGTATGCAGAAAGTAGAAGAGCCATTTAATCAATGAGGATTTAGAGTCAACTCCTCCATAAATTCCATTGATTTGATGAGCCTGCTCTTGCTACTGGATTTCAGCCAATGTGATTTAATTGTGCAATATGGAATAGTTGATTTGATTTTGAAAGAGATATAGGTGGTGCAAAGTTCATCTTGCTGTCCAATCTGCTCTCAACTGGATTTAACTTAACTGGACCCCATGTTAAATTAAGTCAAAAAGTTTCAGGAGCTTTCCCCCCAAAAAGTAAGTACCGTGTTTATGTAACTCATCTTCTAATCCATAGTCCCACTGATGGAGGATGGAGTAAAATAATAAGGTTGCTTGGATGAAGTTCATTTAACAAATAAACGTGGATGAAACCTGATGCTCTCGCATGTTATTTAGGCCTGTGCCATTTCAATGAACCGAAAACCACAGTGAATCAGAAACTGAAAGGTGTGAAGTCAACATAAAGGAAATCTTATGTACTCTGTCACATCTCACACACCAACTCTTGCACAGTCGATGATTATGAATCACTCTGCAGTTTGCCAAGTCAGTTTGTCTCAGAGGGACATCCAATGTTTGTGCATGCACAGCATTTTAATCTCTTGGTTGGCCTACAAGAGCATGGAGGCTTTTCCTTGAATGAGTGTGAATACCATCTGGTACAGCTTGTTGTTGTTGTTGTTTAGTCCTTAAGTCATGTCCGACTCTTTGTGACCCCATGGACCAGAGCACGCCAGGCCCTTCTGTCTTCCACTGCTTCCCGGTGTTGGGTCAAATTCATTTTAGTAGCTTTGGTGACACTATCCAACCATCTTGTCCTCTGTCACCCCCTTCTCCTCTTTCCTTCACACTTTCCCAACATCAGGGTCTTTTCCAGGGAGTCTTCTCTTCTCATCAGATGGCCAAAGGATTGGAGCCTCAGCTTCAGGATCTTCCAGTGAGCACTCAGGGTTGGTTTCCTTTAGCATGGATAGGTTTGTTCTCCTTGCAGTCAAGAGTCTCCTCCAGCACCACAATTCAAAAGCATCAATTCTTCGGCAGTCAGCTTTCTTTGTGGTCCAGCTCTCACTTCCATACATCACTACAGGAAAAACCATAGCTTTGACCATGCGGACTTTTGTCGGCAAGGTGATGTCTCTGCTTTTTAAGATGCTGCCCAGGTTTCTCATGGCTTTCCTCCCATGAAGCAGGCGTCTTTTAATTTCATGGCTGCTGTCACCATCTGCAGTGATCATGGAGCCCAAGAAAGTAAAATCTGTCACTGTACAGCTTAGTTCCAGCTTTAAAATGTATCTTGGTAGATAGAAAGATAGGAATGAAGGTATTCACCTAATGCTGAGTTAAATGTCATACCATTGGTGCATCCGGCTCAATTCAGCCAGCCCTCTAAGCTCATCAACTTTTCATCCCTGCTACCTGACTC